TGATCAGAGGCCTCTGGACTGAGCTTAAAATAAGAAGCTTGTCTGCTGTCCAGGGGCGAGAAACTGCTGTTATTTGACCTAGTAACGGGTAAATGTACTATACAAACCTCTGCTTTTGAACACCTCAAGCTCTGAAGGGGCAGACTAGTGTTATTTAGACAGCGGGAACCTTCCCTTCCACCTGCAAAGTGGTAGATAACTGCCTCACTCGGACTCCTCTTCCTCTCTCCCACTCCCACTGAAGAGCAACTCACCTGTCATGACTACCTAGGGCTGGGCACTTAGGGTGCAGGTCCCCAAGGACGGGGCTTGTGTCTCCACAGCAGCAAGTCCGTGCACTTTTGTGGCTCCACCTGGGCGACAAGCCCTAAGCACTTGCGTCCTTGATCTGCATCCATAAGGAATGTGTGAATAATAGTTTGAAACATTGCCAGATTGGCGAGAAACTGGCCCACATGATCAGGTACTTCAAGAAAAGGGAAGGAACATGCTGTTACACCAGCCCTTCTCCTTAAGAAACAAAGCAAGGAGCACTAAAGCACTTGGGAGGGACCTTTCCTGTGCAGCAGAGGGAACCCAGCAGCCTRCAAAGTAGTCTGGAAAACTGAGGCTCTGCATCCTAATTCACATCTGAAACACTGGGCTTCCATTGGAAAAGTGGCCCCAAAGCCTAGACCATCCTTCTGGGTGCCTGCTGTGGGAGGAGGTGGCTCTTCTCCCCACAGGCTCTGGGAATGGGGAAGAAGTATCCCATGTTAGGCTTTCCAAAAGACCCTGGGCAGAGGATGGTGCCCCAGACAGGCTRTGCAAGTCTATCTCCTTTACACCTGGTGCTTTTGATAGGGTTCCTCACTCCAAACGTTCRCCCTGGATGCTCCTGGACTCAGGACCACATTAGTTTGAGATAATTTATCCAAGACCTTGGCTCTGGAAAAAGTGGGTGCCACATACCCTCTCCCCCCCGCCTGCCTTCCTGCCGACGTGCTCTGAGCAATCACAGGGGAGGATGCAGTACAGCCACGCTCCATCTCACTAATTCCCCCGAGGAGAAACACCAGCTCCTCTCTGCCCGCTAGCCCCTTACTCGGCCTTTGTCAGAGCTCATAAATTAACCCAGCAAGGCTGGGGCTGTGCATCTTCCACAATTAGGCCAGCCAGGTGACTTGGGTTTCTGTACGAATGCTCTTGGTTGCGCTGCCAGGAGAGGCTTTCCTGCCTGCATGAYTGGGTGGCACCAGGCAGCAAGGAGCTGGGTTTATCCAGGACAAGTGCTCATGCCCCCAGGCCTCGGGCTGAACCACATCACCTCAGTTCAGACTGAGCCCAGGAGAAACCACAGAGCCCAGTTAATGCTCCTGTGCTCCAAAGAGGCTGTGAACGTGCAGAAAATTATCTCCTGACTGCAGATATGCTCTGCTGCTGGGATTAACAAGTGGTTTTGGGTCACTTTAAGGATGATGTTGGAAATGTGGACTCTGCCATACATCTAGCCTGGAAAAGGGTGAGGAGGGAAAGCGGATGGACATTAGGGATGCAGAGGCTGTGATGTAGCCTCAAATGAGATTTAGAAGAAAATCTTAGACTATTCACAAGAACCTATTTCAGCCAGCTACCCTCTAGCTGTCTCAGAAGAGGGAGGGGTTGATAATTCCCAACCGTTTGCTCCCTAGAACTGAACAAAACTTTTTAGCTTCAAGGGCCTTTTAAGCAAACCATGTGCACATCCCTAGTAGCTAACCTGCTTTAGCTCAAAACAAGCTGTCAGGCGAGGTCGGACAAGTTCGATTTGGCAAGTCCCTCTGCAGCTTGCGGAACAACTTACTCAACCCAAAGCTTCTCTCTGCCCTTCATGGCCACTAGCAGGCCCCAGTGGTGACATGTTCGCAGCTGGATTTCCTYTGTTGCTGGATTTCCTTCCTGTGGCCCCAGGAAGGAAGCCATGGGCCTCTCTCCAGGGCTGGTTGAGTGGGATGGTGTAGCTTAGCTCCACAGCACATTCCCAGGGAACGTCTCTGTTGGATGAGTCCTTCAACTGAGCTGGCACCGTGATGTCCTGTCTCACCAAGGATCCAGCAGCACTGCTGCACCCTGGAGCCCATCGGTGTCAGCATAGAGGGCTTACAAACAGCAGTCCCAACAAAGCTGTGTTCTTTGGCCAAAATTCGTTTTGCCTCATTGATACGGGAAAAGCATCCAGACAGCATGTTAAACACCAAGAGATGGAGAAGCCCCTTTTCTCCAATTGCTTTTCTCAATACTTCACTACCCATGCTGTTAAGGTTAAAGTTAAGGGCTCTTCCCAGCAAATGCAGAAGCTTCTCTATCCAGTTTGTTTTTCTGGGGTGCTAGGGGAAAAGTAGCACTTTTTGTGGTGCTGCAAGTTATACCCGTGACTTCCATGGCCTTGTAGTGTTTGTCTTCCTTGTGCTCCCATCAGCCAAGGAAGCAACTCATCCTGTGACGGGCTCAGCATGCACTTCTGCACCAGCCCTTCTTGGGCCACTCCGGGAAATAAGGAGCCATGGGTGATGCCAACATGAACTATTACTGTTTTCTTGCTCACTAGCTTTGCACTGAATCACGTTTTGGCCTCTGCGGGGAGAGGAGTTGAGCATTTGCAGGAGATGACTTGTCTGCGCTCATCTGTGTGAAGAGGAACAGAGCCCTGAGCAGCACAAGCATTTCTTCTGAGGGGAGTCCTCTCAAAGAGGGGCTGAGGACAGATCTAGGAGATAAAAATGTTCTCAGATCTGCTCTATGGGTGGCAGAAGTGCCTAGCAGAGACAGACAGTATTTGGGTCTTGTTTTTTTGTGGGCAAAATTGCTTAATTCTTAGAATTTTTATGGAGGATGAGAATGAGCCAATCTGAAGTAACCAACAATCTTGTGGGCAGGGTGTTTGCCTGACTGGATTCATGCTCTGCCCACATTGAATTTGGGTTCCTATTTTGGGATGGATGGTTTTCTGGGGACCTCTAAATGAAAGGGTATGCCACATTATCTCTTGGAGACAAAAATCAGCCCCATAAGCTCCAATCTCCCTTAGAAAAGCAGACCCTTTAGTTTCTGGTGAGCTCAGCAACCGTAAGTGCAGTCCTGGGAAGTTTTCTGTGAAACTAGATGCCTTCCRGAAGGACATTGTCACTCTCTGGGCTCCACTGGGGCCCTGTGCAACCCCAAGACACCTGGGGAAGTTGCACATTGGTTGTGAAACAGCGCAGAGCACAGCCTGACACTGCTGCCCTGCAGGCAGCTAAACGTCCAGAAACCCACAGAACTGCAGGCATTGCTCTTGGAAAGAAAGAGCCAGGAAAACGAGCAACAGCAGGAAAACACCTTTGCCATGAGAACTCAGTCTTTTTTCCCCTCTTTTTTTTTTTTTTTTTTTTTTTCCCATTACGCAGAAGAATCCTCTCTGTTTGTCTGCAAATTGTCTCTCCTAAGGATCAAGTTATGCACATTCTTCTCCCAGCTCCGGGCTGGAGTGAAACCACAGTCTATGGTTAGATACTTGCAAAAGAAGAAATGAAGCCAAAATTGTCACAGCAGCCTGCCACTACGGGCTTAGACCTCCACAAAATTACATATATATGTATAGATATTCATATATATTTTACACAAGGCATCAGTTTTGATGCAGACTGAGACGACTTGAAACGAAGCTGCTCTGCTCCCACGGTATTTCATTGGGGGAGTTAGCAGCCCACACCACATAACCAAATCAGACCCAAACCATGCCAACGTTGGCTTTGCCAAATGATCTCGCCCAGGGGAAAAACGTCTCRTGCTCCGAGATCAATTTTTCAGTGCAGCTTCGGAGGGGAAGCGCATACACAGGCAGCATGAGCCTTTTTCACCAGGCAGCAATTTGTTTTTCCAATCAGTCCTAATTACCAACAAACAGAAGAAAATCTTTAATTAAAAACAAAAACAAGCTACAAGCACGCATGGAGTCCACCCCCCCTTTTCTAAAGGATTTTAATCTTATCTTGTAGCCRCTCTCCCTCCACACAGAGCTCAAGTTCCTTTTTTTTTTCTCTCTCTCCTTTTTCCTCCCTTAAATCTGGTTGTCATTTCCTTCTCATAACACTGTTGCAATAAGGAACAGGCCCTCATAAAAATACCATTTTGCCTTCCCCCTCCTTGGGCGCAGAGGCCGTGCCTCACTTTCCGTGCCCGGCAGGACCCTGGCCAGGGGAGCTTTGGATCAGAGCACTTGCATCCCTGCAGAGCCAGGCTGGATGGTGCCCAGCTCCAGGAGAGGATGGGTTCAAAGAGCAGCCTCCATGGGAGCCAAAGGGCTCAGRGGGTCCCAAGTTTTCCCACCTCCCCCTTCCCCTATTTCAGGGCTCGCACATGGAGGCCACACATTTTCTTGATTTATTGCCCATTGCCCAGGTATGGAGCAGCCCAGGGCAGGCTGCAGGGAGCTGCTGTTRGACAGACCTCAGCCAGAGACTGCCAAAGATTTTCATTTTGGGGTAAAGACTTCCTTTAATCTCTCAGGGCTGGGGCTGATCCCAGTGTCCCTCACTGGGGCAGTCAGGCCCCATCCCTTGGCAGCCCCATGGCTACCAGGAGGTGGAAGGTAAGATTTCTTTTTTTTTTTTTTTTTTTTTTTGACAGACCTTGAGCTGCTTTGAGAGATGCACAAGCATTTTACACCCTATAGCACATTACAGCCTCTTCCCTCCCAGCCCACCCCCCTCCCTCCAGATTCCTTGGAGCAGAGCATCTGTCCCAGACCCCTAACCCCCCCACCACCCAAGCGCACCCAGAGCGGCAGCAACGCTTTAAACCAGAGCTGCAGGCACAGGGTGCAGCTCTGCCCAGTCGTCCCCAGCGCCGGCGGGCTGAACGCTAAGCTGCTTACACGGGCTAATGGCCACAGATCCGGGCTGCGAGGCGTCATCCCCACTTCACCCCCCCAGCCCAGCTCTCCTCCCTGCTTCCCACCCATCTCCCCCCCGCACGCCGGGCACAGTGCACACAGGCTGCCCGGGGAGCTGGTGGCACCGCGCTCCAAGGGCTGCATTTGGGGTTATCCCCTTGCACCAGCCCCAGAGCGCACGGTTTGGCATTGCCCACGCACCCTCTCCCTCCCACCCAGACATAGATACAGCAATGTCCAAGTCCACAAATCCAGGGAGGGTTGCCTGGGAGCTACAGTTGGCTACCGGAGAAGTCGGAAAGAGGGAAGAAGGTTGGTTGGTGCTCAGCAAGTGCTGCAAGGAAGAGCCCRATAGGTTCAACTTGGAGCATGGAGGGATAGTGGGGGGACACAGGAACAAACTCAAAAGGAGGCAAAGGGACAACTGAGGGTCGAGGGTCTGATGTCTACAGTCTAAAGGCAGCAGTCAGCACAGGAGAGGAAAGGGGAGTTGGTGTTCGGTGTTTTGGTTTTTTGGTGTCACTCACGATAGAAAACATATTCGGTGTAAGAGGTCCAGATCTTGTCATCTGTCTGGTCATGGGCAAAGGCACAGGTGCCCGTGGAGTTGCAAGCCACCATGTGGAAGCCAGCATCAGCCAGTCTGTCAAAGGCTTGCTCCAGGAAGGTGAACTTGAGGTAGTACCTGGAGGTGTACCTCTCCGGGGGCCTGTCCGGGTCCCGGCTCTCGTTCAAGGTGTCCCCAAAGACTTCCTTGGCCAGGGACGTCTTGCCACAAACCATGATCCGGGCCACCCTGCGGAACTTGGCATCTGTCTGGCTGTCCCTGCCCAGGGTGTAGGAGCCCCGGTAGCCAATGGTGATGAAACCTGACCTGCGGATCTCGGTGCCAGCAGCACCTGTGCTGGCAGCCACTGAGCCCCCAGGGCCACCAGCTGGAGCGCTGGGGAGTGTGGCACTGGCAGAAGGTAGATTGCGTGTGGCATCAGCATTGGGTGACAGCTCCTCCGGGTCACTTTGGCATGGATCATCTCCAAGAGAGTTCTGTTTGCTGAGTTTGGGGGCCAGCATCTTCACCAGCTCCGGCAACATGAAGTACTCGGCTTCTCGCTGCAGACGGCTCCTCTCTGGGAAGTGGTCAGGCAGCACTAGCTGCTGGTCTCTCATGTAATCCAAGATGTAACGGAAGAGGAAGCCATCCCGATCCACGAAGAACCGTCCCTTGCTGTCACGGGCCAAGGAGCGGATATTCTTCTGCGTGAACATTTCCCAGAGCAGGGAGCCAGGCACACTGACCAGCGTAGGATGGCGAGTGATGTAGACTTGTCCACCCACATTGAGTTCAATGATCTCAGGGAAAGGGAAGTCCTCGTTGGGTTTGGCACAGCTTGCACTGTCTGCCAGAGCCATTGTGATATAATGCTTCCTTCCAGCCTGGAAAAAAAGAAAAAAAAAAAAAAAAAAATCAGTAGCAATGTGATTATGTTAACCCTGCCAAAGAATGCAGCTCATCACTCTACCAACCCCAAGCCCTTTCTGTAAGCAAGCACTGTAGGACCTGACCCATGCTCTCTGGCCCTGCTGCCTCTCTGGGAATCTGGCAGGCAGGTTTTCCCTCGCAGTTCCTGGCTGGTGGAAGGGCAGTTGGAATCAACAGCATCATCCAGAGCAGTATGCACTGCTCCACTGCAAGAGGGAAAAGTGCTGCTTGCCAGACAGCTCTTTGGACAGGACATCTCCTCCATCTGCAGTCCTCGATGGTCTGCTCCAAGGCTGGGGATCACCACGTTTGTCAGTGAAGGACGGATGACAGAGTATTGCTGTTAATAACAGGAAACTATGGACTGCCATACCTCAGTCTGACCAATGACCCGCCTCACCCAATGTCCCGAGGGGGCCAAGCGAGAGCTGCCATACGGCAGAGTCCCTCTGTGYGCCAGGGAGCCAGAGAGGATTTGCAGAGCCCACACGCAGAGTGCCCGGGTTTGCCAGAAAAGGAACACCAGACAGAGCCATGAAGGACAGAGTGACAGTGTTTCTGGCACTCCTACTCCAACTTTGCTCCTGGAGAGCACCCAAGAGAGACTCTTGGCCAAGCTGAAACCTGGTGAAAAATGACAGAACATCTCCAAGGGTCTGGGGCCAAGTCAAACAGCGATACAGCCTTGGGCCAGGTGCCATGTATTTATATGTTGGCCAAAGCCAAGCCAATTGACTCCTAGACAGCTCTTGATATCACTAAACAACACTTACATAAACCTGGCTCAGCAGATGGACTGATGATCCATCCTGGCCAAGCCAYGCTCTGTGCAAGTATTGGTTTTGGAGGCTACAGGGTATAGGGGTTTCCCTGCTATATTCCTAGCGACCCAGCAGTGTTGGAGCTCTGCCTTGCGAGCACTGCCCTGAGACCACTGCTGATCCACGKAGTGAGCACAGTGTCCCTAGCCATGCTGCTTTGTGGAGCTGTATGAAGGGATCCGAAGGCGAGACGCAGGGAAGTGAAGGAGCAAAGACTGAACTCCCGCTCTGCGGCTGCTCTTGGGGCGCTGAGCCAAGCCTGCGGTTCACGACCCATGGCTACACCTAGCACTCGGTGGGGGCAGGTTCAGCGATGGTTCCTTTTGAACRGGTAGCAGGGCCATCCCCAAGCTCAGCCTCAGCTGCTGGAGCTCAGCTCCGAGCCTGCCTCTGCAAAGGAAGAGTGTAATGATGCGAAGGAGGATTAAGGTGGTCCATCTGACTTCCAGCTTCCCCAGTGGACTTCCTCCATGGCTTTTAGCCCCAGCTGTCTGTCTTCAGCAAGATACACACACTGTTTTATCTGTTCTCCCTAGAGAGGCAGTTGCAGAAGCCCAAGCAGAACCTGCCTATGCCTTGAGCCCCTGCTGGCAAGAGCTGGCCACTAAGCACGACTTCCAGCCCTGCGTCCCGGGTGGCACTGGCAGAAACTGAAGGGCTGCAGTGGTACTTCCCACAGCAGGGCAGCAGTTGGCAGGGTGGCACACAGAAAGCCCAGCAAGCAGCCGCTCTGTGCCCAGGGCATACACGCTCACGGGCTGCAACCCTTCCTGGTGCAGGCAGACAGGGAGCAGGAAGCCTCTGAAGAAAGACTATTTTTATATGGCTCTGACTTGGTGCAGACCTGGCTCAACAAAAGGAAACTACCAGCGTGGGCTGAGGCAGAGCTCCTCAAGGAGCTGGGGACACTACCCCGGCCATCTCTGAGGGCTGAGAGCCGCACACTGCTCTTCCCCACCATTCACATTGCCCAAGAGACTGTCCTCTCTGCCCCATCCCAGTGGGCTCCTGAACGGGCTGGGATGGGCTGGAAGAGGCTCTGCGCGTGTCTCACAGCGGTGTTTGCAGCCTGCAGGCTCCCGGAGCAGTGGATCCAGAGCCTGCACCCAGGGGTGGCAGGTGCCCTGTCCCACCGCGCCAGGGCGAGGAGTCCCAGGCGGCAAATCCAAAGGACAAAGCCATGCTGGGGGTAGGGGACGGGAAGGGTGGCGGTGGAAGCACCGCAGGGTGCGACCGCCGCCCGCTCGCAGGGACCGGGACCGGGACCGGGACCGGGACCAGGGCTAGGGCTAGGGCTAGGGCTAGGACCGGGCGGCGCCGCCTCCTTCCCCGTTACCTCCGCTCCGCGCTGGCGGTCCGGGCGCGCCGCGGTGCCGCTCGGTGCCGCTCGCTTCGGTGCCGCTCCGCTCCGCTCCGCTCTGCCCGCCCGCTGCTGGCCGCTCCGTTTTATGGCAAGCGCCGTGCCCGGGCCCGCCTCGCCCCCGCCCCCGCCACCTCCCCGCGCCCCCGCCGCCGCCCCCCCGGCCCAGAGCTCCGTGCCGGGGCCAGGCGAGGCCAGCGCGCTCGGGCCGCCCCCCCGGCCAAGCGGGATTTGGCTCTAATACCATTAGCGAGCAGGGCGAAAGCGTCGCAGCACCTCGGGCCGCCCCCCCGCACCCCGCTTGGAGCGGGCGGCGCAGAGAAGGGGAAGGGAGCGGGGGCTGAGGGACGGGGCAGCTTTTCCAGCGCTGCCCGGGACGTTGAGCGCTTGGCACRCTCGCTCTCGCTTGCCCGGCGGCTGCTGTGCGTCGCGTGGTGCGGGGCCAGGTGCTGGGCCACGGTGGCTGTGGCTCAGTGCCACGGGCAGCTGGGCAGGGCATGGGCACCCCAGGGCTCCAGGGCTCCTGTAGGGCTGGAGGAACTGAGCCCTGTTGCCCAGATGTGCCAGTCTGCTGCTTGGCCACAACGGGAGCACGGCAGAAATGCAAGGGGAAGATGAGAAAGGTGCCCTAAAGCAGCCCCCTTCTCCACCCTTCTCCACATCCTGGGTGGGACTGCAGATGCTCATCTGTGTCCAAAGAGTTGTATCTTACCTGAATCTTTTCTGCCGCATCTTTGCTGACATTAGCACCCTAGGCAGCTAAGTGGGGTCAGCCCAGCACCCTTTGAGTGCCAGAATTGCATGCACTGAGGTGCCCGCATGGCAGCGAGTGGCCACACAGCCATCCAAGGCAGGGCAGAGCCTGAGGCTGGAGCAGAAAAGGAAACCAGGTCCCTTTTCTGCTCCGAGCATCTTGCTTCAGGACTGTTGAGGATTTCCCTTATCTGATCCATGTTGCTGTCACTGGATAAATTTGGCTTTGTTGTTACTAATGTCTTGTGTCCCAGCAGCATCATTACGCAGATGTGCCAGCAGGTCACCAAAAGCACAGCCAGAACCAGGTCTCCGTGTACGTCTCTGAATAAACAAGCTGGGGTGCTCTTCACTTGGCTCCATCAGTACTTTGACCAAAAATAAAGTGGTGCACCATATGAACAGTATTGGTGTGGCAGTARCAAGTTGGAGGCTGCATCCTGCCACCAGAAGACATGGAAGACCAAACACAGCATCTGTATGCAAGGAGCACCCAGTGGAGAGGACAGTGTTTGCATCAAAATGAGATCATGGAGTCTCGTGCATGTATCCCCACTTGCTCACTTCCTACAATGGCAGGGATGTSCATTTGCAGGTGAATGGTGAGAGCAGCAGGAGAAAAATTCCACGTGAGTGGAAGTTTCTTGAATTCAGCAGCTACCTCTGAGTTCAGGACAGGTCATTATCACCTGTTTCAATATTTTGAAGAGTCATTTTTCGYGCCTTAACTTTTCAAATAGGAAGGTTTGGGTTTGGGGGGATATTTGAAGAATATTTTACGATGATGACTGTTTTTTAACCTCCAAGTTGCTTTCCATCTGGAAATGCTGAAACTTTGAAGGAAATGAGAAGCCTTCCTCCCCACTAGGCTGTTGTGCAATTTGCAGCTGGGTGACAGCAATCCTGTGGGTATCGACCAGGAAACACCAGGATAGATGGTTGGATGGAAGATTGCTTTGCTCCACAGGCAGCTGAAGCATCCTGTATATAAGGAGCCAATAGGGTGATTTAATTATCATGAGCCTGTATGATCTGGGGGGATGAGCTAGGATAAAATCCAGTGTATTTCTCTCTCATTTTTCTGGAGGCCTGATCCAATGTGCCTGGAGCCTAGTTGAATGATTTCAATGAAGTTGTCCACTTGGCATCCCTGAGATRGACTTGGACACACAGACCTGTAGCAATGCGTTGAAGATGAAGGAGCCCCCAGGACTTGTGTTTTGCTCCTGGCAGTGGTTCCACAGGGAGCATCTCAATGTGGGCAATAGCTTTGAACTGCCTGCGAATGGGGGGAATAGACGTGGCCATGGGGATGAAGGGTGTGACTGCATATGGCAGGGAGGAGGGGAATTTTTCTGTTCAAATGTGTATGTGCAATTATCTTTTCCTGCAAATGTTAGCAGGCAGTCACAGGTCACATCATCCTGACATCAAAGTCATGCTTTACTGTGGAAACAGATACCTCAGTGAGCAGGCAAACTGCTGAAGGGTTAGATAGATTTTCAATGTGCATGCTTATTGCCTAATGCAGGGTGCCTCTACTAGCCTTTCTTTGCTGGGAATACTAAATTGAATCTCTTCTTTGTCTGGCCCACTGTTTTTCCTACTCTGTAGGCAAGTGCTGGCTTTGAGATCTTATACTGCTTTATCAAACTTAGTTGAAATTGCCCCAGTAACTCAAAAGATACAAGGGGAGGATGGATGCAGAGGTGCACTATCTCACATACCCACAGAGACCATACTAATCGCTTTTCCTTAAGAAAGGAGATTAAAAATAACCTGAATTTGGTAATACATTTGGAAGGCTACAAAAGCAAGACTGCCCTAGGTCAATTACTTGGAGACTCCTCATGGTGAAGGCTCTGCCCAGCATCCCCTGATGCTGAGATGACATCCTTGCCCAGAGCTGGAGTGGTGAGCTGGAGGAGTGAGGACCTTACATTGGAGGTGATAGAGTTATCCTGGAGGAAAAGGGCAGGCTGTGCACCATTCTGTGGATGGAGCTGGAGTGGGAGCTAGGACAGGCATGGGGAACAGTGGGAAGATGATGGTACGAAGGTCTGAGCTTGAAAAGCTGCAGAGAAATTATGCTTTGGACTCGTTACTCAGTGCAGGGCTGTGGGCATGTAGCAAATATGTCAAGATGAGTATATGCCCCATGGTCAGACCATGTGTCTCAGCTAATACATCCTRAGAGAAATGCTTCAGTCCCTCTTCTTCAGCATCCCTTCAGACTGGAGTTGAAGATGAATAATACAAGGCACTTTCCCATCCTGTTGGTGTTCAGATGAATTAGCATCATTCTGCCCTCAAGAACCTCAAGAACCTTCATCTTAGCAAAAGTTCTGTCCTCTGCAGTTCTCATGCCAAACTCTGCTCTCATCCCCTGTGATGGAGGGGCAGAGTAACTTAACTTTGCTGCCTCCAACTTTCTGCTGAAAGACTTAAACAGACTCTCCTGGGGGAGTGAAAAAGTATCTTGATGCTGTAACGATTCAGTCCTTCTCATTACTGAGGCTCAAATTGGTGCAAATATTTCGTTGAGCTGAAATGGAAAAYGCGCAGACCACTGCTGACATGTCTTGACGCAACTCAAAGTATGATCTCCTGCAAAGAGGAAAACGATAGTGACCCCAGGAACAACAAGGGGGTCTGGAAACTCAGGAGAAACTGCCAAAAGCCTTTATAAGMCAAACTTTGCAAAGCTCTGCCAAAAATGAACAGGACAAGAATGTGGATCCCTCCCTCACTTCTGAAGACTCTATCAACCGCAGCATTGGAACGTGATTCACCCAGGTCCCAAGAGACGGAAGGAATGGGTTTAATTTGTGTTTATCTGTATTCACTCTGTTATTTACTGAGAATGTGGTCTGGCGATTGCAAGGGACACTGGCATAGCCTTTTGGTTGCTGTTTCGAGCTCATCACATTTTCTGTGCTTGGACATAATTCACTTCACCTTRTTGTGCCTCAGCCTCCTCGTCTGCAGAATGGGGGTACTGCCCACCTTCAATATCCATGAACAACAATAATATCCCTATTCTAGTACTCCAGACGTCTCTGAAAATTCCTTAAATATGTATTTTTAATGTCCAAAAGAGCTACAAACTGAAAATGAGACATATTTCCTTTCCCTGAAGTTTTTTTCTCAGCTGAAAAATCAGAAAAAAAAAATCAGCTGTGCACCCAGTGGTGCTAGTGATCTTCTGATATATCACACCGCAGGGATGTCACCCCAGAGAAACGGTGCTGCCATACCGACTTGATTAGTTTCTTATCTAGGGATAACAAATCAAAATACACGTTAGGGAAAGAATATTAGAGCGAGAATCCCACATTTAATGCTCATTGCATTAAATATCCAGCTCATTGCATCTGCAGTTCAGATTCTACTGCTGTAATTCATGAATTAGAGGCAACTGCAGGAATCTTTCTTCTTTAATCGACATGGAAATACTCCTAAAAGTGCAGCAGAGGCCAGTGGTAAAACGGACCCCTCTGGGGTCCCACATTATTTTTAATATGTTCATATAATTGCTGTCTTCCTGTCAGTCAGTTCCTCCCCCATACTAGCTCTGCTCTTTTCCCTCTTCATCATCTGCACTTCTCCTCTTTCCTCTCCCTATTCCCACTCTGGGTGCTAATGGGCTTTGCAAAGCAACAGTTAGTGCTGACATTAAAATACCACCATGCTTGTGTTTTCAAGCAGTGCTGAAATACTGGAGGTGAAAGGAGCCCTTACCCCTGGGTGACTTCATCCTGTTCAACCAGGAGGAGGAATCTCTGCCTGGCAAACATGTGGGTACCTCTAAGTCCAGAATTATGCAGAGATGGCTGAGACAGACCTTTGGCTCTCCTCCTGCACTTCTCCTTTTCATTTGCTGCAGGTGTGGCTCGATGCACGGGTCTGGTGATAGGCTCAGGTCACCTGCACACTTGAGATTAAATGGAAGTGCTCCTTTCCTTCTGTCTGTACATACTCGGTAGTAATTCCCCGTTCTCCCTCTTAAGGACTTGCTGTACTCTGGATGAGTAGCCCGGAAACTTCAGCCATTGCCAGATTCTATAAAAAGTGGCTAATCTGCTTCTGGTTAGGAGCTCAGGTGGCTTTGCAGCTCTGGGAACAGAAGGGGGCAAGCAGATGTGTTCATCTGACCCCAGCTATCGTGGTCCCATTTGCCATGCCCATGCAAGATGAGACTTTACGTTTGCATTTCAATAATTTACTCACACATCTTATCTTCCCCATTTTCAGCAGCATCTGCCAACCTGCACTGCGG